TTTTTTTTTACATTTATGTTCATTAACATGCACTGTCCTAAATAAATAAATAAACTAGTAATATTAAGAGTGAGGCTATACTACATTTTTGTTGTTCCTGAATTCAGATCAAACTAAACGTCATTGTGAATTAAACCTGCAGCTTATCTGATTTTTATAACCACAATCCTAAAACAATACAGTGTGATATTAAATACTGTTATCATTAAAGGTCTTTTGGAAGGGAACTTGTTTAATTCCAAGTGAAGATTTGTGTGTGGAAATTTGTGATATTGGGTTTTCTAAATAAATCAAACTTAAATGTGTTCAGACACATAGTTGGCTCTTTGCACATCCAGAAGACTCAAGGCAACATTAGCATTCATTTGGCACCATGATCGTCCGCCTGGCAAATCCACTACTTACTTTTTTTTTTTAGCTGTCTACCAACTCCTAAAGAAATATCTGGCTGCTTAGCTGCTAAATCGCCCACTGGATGGATGCTACCATTGTCTGACAGTAACATTTTGCACTGAGGAAGTAGTGTACAGTCTGAAACAGCTGTTTCATGCATGCAAATTTGATGCTGATAGGCAGGCCGGGTGATAACTGTTTGTAGTTTGACTTTTAATCGTTTTTTCGTTTAAAAATAGTCATTACAGGAGCTAGATCAAAGCCTGCAGCTCACAACAGCCTGATCTTGATGTGTTTCTCATCGAGTCTGCTGTGACGGACGCCGATAAACACTGATAATCAGCCGGGATTAAAGCTTGAATTATGTGTATATCATTCTCACACCACCTCCAATAATAACTTTCCCTCTGTTCTTCCACTCTCTCCACCCTCCCCTCCATTGTTTCCCCTGTCTCTCCCTTCCTTGACAATCTTTGATCTTCATATATACCCAGCCTCTCTTTAGTGTCTCGTCTCTCATCCTTTCCCCCAAGTCTCCTAACCCCTCCTCTCCTCCCCTCTCGTCTCCTCTCCTCTCTTTTCTTCCCGCCGCCCGTCTCCTCCTTCTGTTCCACTGACCTGGGAGAACTGCTTCTCTCTCATCTTCACCTCCTCCTCCACCAGCCTCTGCCTGTGGGCCGTCTCGTCCTGAAGCCTCCTCTCGGCCTCCTCTCGCCTCCTCCGCTCCTCCTCTAACATCTGCCGCCGAGCCTGCACCTCCCTCTCCTGGGAGCGTCGGGGCAGGAGAAAGAGACGCAGATGGAGAGAAGAGAAGAAAAAATAATGGGGAAAAGGGAGACGGGGAGAATATGTTAATGGTAGGCAAATATTGCAATACAAAGAAAATGACTGTCAGAAGATGCTCGTGAGAATTCAAGTCCCAATCCAGGGTTTTGTAAAATATATCCCTTAAGTCTGTGTATGGAAAAGTAAGCTTTGCTGATGTAAAATGATCCTTTGCAGCTTTCAGAAACTTACATATGGGTCTACTTTATTTCCACATGAGGAAATAATACAAAGGTAAACACAATAATTACAACTTCATTTCACCACATCTGAAGTTCACCGATCACTTTGATCACTTTGATCAGGTTTTTATCTGCTGAGCGAGAGCCACACGAGAGGTTTTGCAATAGCTCAAAGTTGGAATGTGTCGACTCTCAGTGGAACTGGAATATTTGGCGATTGCAGTCATTTATTTATTTTACAAAATCTGTGATCGGTGATATCATAAGAACTGTACTTTTTTTTTAAAACTATTTTAATTTAGTGTAAGATGCGATTCTTTTTTGATACAATATGTCAGAGCTGACTGTGTAATTATTTTGCATCAACGTTGTTTTGATTATTCAGGATTCTATTGTGATATTCAGAATTTTGGTATGGCTTTAATGACTGATCACAAAGGCTGCAGTTTACTATCCGCGTCCTCCAGCCTGCAGCTGGTAGGAAGTGACTCCAGAGAAAAATTTCTCCTGATATATTGTGTTTGTGTGTAATAGGCAAAAGGAACATGGCTTGTAGTGTAAACAGGACTAGAAAAATCTCCATATAAATGTAGTCATTTTATCCATACAGCACTGGACTGACTCCAGCTATAACCAGGAATTATTATGTTTCCCTGGCTGCAAAGTCATGTTTCAATAGTTGTCACAAACACTAATTACTGTTACTTTCATACTGCAGATAGATTACATGCTCATAGCTACAAATAGCATAAATACACTTCACTTGTGCAGTGTTTATTATGCCAGAGAGGAGGTGATTGCTTCAGGTCTGTCAGCTGAAACAAGGGCTGCAAATACTGATACTGTTGTCATTAATTTCATCAGCTGCCAATTATTTTCTTGTCAATTAATCATTTTGTTTACGCAGTAATTGAACATAATAAAAATTTTTTTAAACTGATGTAATTTCCAGCAGCTAAGAAGACAGACACTGATTTTTTTGTTTTTGTTTTTGAGCAACAGTGTAAGCAAGATTATTGGAGCTATAAAGACAACTAAACTAAAAAAAAACTGGGTGTATGGGGGAACTCTCACTCTTTTTTTTTAAAAAAAAAAAAAAAACGAACTAGACTGTTAGACAGTAAAAACAGTACAACTGAATTGGAAAAAAATTATCTGGAAAAAAAAATATATAAACAATATAAAAATGTAAAAACGATAATAACTCCCGCATATGTGATTTAAGGATTTTTAGTTTTAAAAAATGGCAAAAACAGCTGATTATTTAAACCAATATTACCTACGATTAATGGATGTGACTGTTTGTTCCAGCTTTTGAAATAAAGAGGATTCCGATGTTCAGCCATGTTAAAAATGGAGCCTTTTTTTTTATGTCAGAACTAAAAGTTGGGAACTCACTCTGTTCTCAATCAGTCTGGCTTTCTCCTGCTGCGCTTCCTTCAGCATCTTTTCCATCTCTTCTATCCTCTGGGCCTCTAAGCCACAGGCGCTACAAGACACAGAATAAAGGAGCATTTGATGACAAAAAGCAAAAAGCAAACAGACATGCGTGGAAACAAACACTGGAAACAGCAGGAGAGCCAGACACAGTCATTAACATCAGTAAACTTCACAAAATAACTGGAAACTAGAGCTGGCTGGTATAGCAACAGTCAGTGTACCTAGGAGACACGTGAGCAGGCGTGTAAGAAAACATGTTGTCACGGGAACAAAGCAGCAGTGACCCTTCTCCTGAGAGACAGGGCAGAATTGAGTGTTCCCATGGAAACAGAGCCAGCCTCTCACCTTTCTGGGGTACAGGCGGAGTTGCCGGTGGAGACGCTGGTCTCCATGCTGTCTGAGCTTTCCAGACTCAGGGTGTCATACGCCTGGTTGCCACTGGGTGGCAGCTGGTGATGCAAGATGGCGTGATGGACTGTGGGAGATGTATCTGTGCAGGCAGAGAGGACACAGAGTAAAGTGTGACAGACTTACACCACCCTCTACTGCTGGTGACAGGTCATTGCTACTTTTAGATGAAAATCGCATCCAGACAGCAAGGACACAGAAAAACACAGCCCCACCATAAACTGTAGTCAAAGATGGACATAGCAACTGTGACATCACCTACTGGTTTGTGAAGAGCTGTTCTGAAGCAATTTAAACGTTATGGCCTTCATCAGTTTTCTCTAATTGTTTGTTTTATTTAGAGAAAAATTAAAATACCTGTATGAGAAGGTGTAATTCTAGGTTATCAGTTAGCACATTAAGGCGCGTACAAACAATTTAAGGGCGCCCGCAAAACAATAAGGGAGTTTTTACACCTTCATGGTTAATTGCTTTGCAACCTTTGGATGTACCTTGCTGCATCCCGGAATACAGCAAACGTGGCTACGGGACGTTTTGTAGCTCAGAATTGCAGTGCACACCTTGTAGTCTTTATCATGACAGTGGACACACAAGCTGAGACTATGCATGGACTGATGGACTCTGTTACCTCTGCTCGGCAAAGCCAACTGCCTCCTGGAGTCCATCTCCAGTGGGTTTGACATCTCTCTCAGCGCTAAGTGCAACCCCTAAGAAACACATAAAAAGGATCAGGTGGAGTAGACTTTACAGTTTACTGATTACAGTTCAGCTGTGTGAAACTGACCTTTGTGGAAGCATTTTTCTCCTGTGTAGCACCACTGGAGTGTGGCAACAACGTGGTGCTTCTGTTTGATGAAACCTGTCCAACTTCACCTTCTGATTTGGACTTTGACAGCTGAGAAAGGAAAAACCGCTTACTCAATAAGTTCATAAATGTAGAATGCTTTGATTTCAGTTTAGCATTTTGTGACCTGCAGTTGAACAAGATGTTGATTTTCATGGTGTACTTTGTGTTTTGTGTTGTGACGCATTAAATTAAATATATAAATGTTTTGTTCTGTCCCATCCTAATTTAGCTCATATGGTGTCTGAAAGCATTGATTGTTACCTTAACCCTTTTCCCCACTAGAGGGCTTTCTAGTCTTAAATATATGAACAGTGGCGTAACTAATGACATCTGTATTGCTTTAGTGCCCTTTAGCAAGACTCTAAAAGGTGCCCGGAGAGCTTAAGTGAATTTACCTGCCCATGTCTGCGTGTGGCAAAAGACTTTGCAGGCAGTGGTGGAGGGCATGGCTGAGGCTCTCCAGCTGCCATGATTTCCTGGTACCAGCTCTCAAGATTAAGAGGAGGCAATGCATTCCTGCTCAGCTCAGGTTGGCTCTGCGGTGATGTAAAGCGTTCAGGCAAAGGAAAAAGGGAGCAGCAGAGCAACAGCATCATTAACAGAAGCATCAGGCAGGTAGAAAAGACTACTGGCTAGTCGTTGTGATAATATCAAGCTAGGACAGAAACGAAGATCACAGCAATTCGGTGGATGGCTGCAAATGAACAAACCTGTGCAGAGAGAAAGGAGGAAGGACCACGTGCAGTTGTGTGGCATGAGAAGGTGGATTCAGAGGAGGCGAGTTGGAATGCTGGCATAGAGGAGGAGGAAGAGGAGGGATCGACTCGCTGCATCCCAAAGATCTGACTTAACTGACTGACTGTGATGTAGTCCTTTACACAGACATAGAAGCATGACATAGACACAAAACAAATCGGAACATGAGCAGAGAGCAGAAGGTGAGGAAAGACATCTGGAGGTAATGTTAGTATACTTTGCTTGGTTTTAGTACTATGACATATCAGAGAAACATATCAGAGTGTTGCAAAGAGCAGAAAAGAGATCTACCTCAGTTGGCAAAGCTGGAGTTACAGTGAGGGAGAGGCAGTGGAGAGCAGCAGGAGAGGAAGAGTGAGGCTGCAGAGAAGCATTTCCATACATCCTATAGACATCAGACATCCTGAGGTACTCCTGCATCAACAGCCACAGCAGAAGAAGGCTGAAGGAGCGGCACTCGCTTAATTCAAAAGACTCACAAAGCAAACCCGACGATGTTTCAACACACTCCACTACCCCACTGTATGTGGGGGTAGTGAATGTCTAACATTCATACAGTTTAACCACCAAAGCTCGTCTTGCAAGCCTCAAACAATCACAGGGCAGATTTAGAGAAAGGCAGAAAGTTGACCTACTGACAAACACACTGCAAGCTCGCTGCTGTTTGTCAGTAAACGCTACCACACACCGTCATGCCCATTTTTTATAATTGCAGAAACACAAGAGTTAGGATCTGTTAGGCTCTCTCGAGATTTACCTCTTGTAGCCTGACAGGATATAGCTCGGGGGAGGGGATGTGAGAGGATGAGGAGGAGAAGGAGGCAGAGGAGAGACAGGGACTATGAGGAGAACCATCCACATAAATAAGGTCGGGCTCGCTGATGTGAAGCAATTCCTGTTTAAAAAGTTGACCTGAGTAAAAAGAAGTTCCACTTTGCAGTAATTTTCCTCCAGCTCAGACACCACTGGTGGTTGTGACGTGATGCTTGGCATGTACCTGCTCACCTCTTTCATGCTGCCACCGGGCTTTGGAAAGTTTCTCCCTCCTGTCAGCGTGTGGTATTTCTTCTCCAGGGCGCACAGCATGTCTTGTTCCTGAAAGCCAGAACCAACATGGATATTCAGGTGTTGCGTAGCAAGTTATAATTGCATGTTTGAATCACCATATGATGTGTACGCAATGCACTTTAGAGTAGGTTATTGAACAGTGACAGGCTAACCTTTTGTAACAGATGCAAAGTCACTGTCCTGTCCTTTGCCAGCCTTTCACAGTCTTGAGATGCCTGTAACCCCAGCTGCTTTACCTGAGCTTCCAGAGCAGCCATCTTTTCCTGCAAATCAACACAACCAGTTTCTTCTTCTGGAGGTCAGCTTCTACACAAAAACTGTGCATGTTTTCTGCCATGTATCCCCACCTTCCTCTTGGCCACGCTGCAGTGATACTCGGCTCGCTCTTGGAGCAGTTGTGAGCTCTGAGCTTCCTTCTTCTCCTCTAGACGGCTCTCCTCTTCCAGCTGGCAGAACTCCAGCTCCTCAAACTGCTTGGTCCCAGACTCCAGAGCTTCAGCTTTCTGTGCACAAACAGAGAACTTATTGAAATCTGTGAAATGCTATTAAAGGGTGAGGCTGGTCATATCCTATGTAGTTTTTTTGTTAATAAAATGACAATGAAAAGACCAAAAAAAAAAACCAAACTATGTATTCACAACTTGGCACATGTTACTCCCTTGAGTGACACATTTCTTTTTATTTTCAACATGTTTGTTTATTTGCCAATGCATTATCTGGCAATCCAGTGCATGTAAAAGATGAATGTACTGTAACTTCTGGTCTAAACCTGCAATATTTCCAAAAACCAGCAGGAGGTGATTTCTCTAACTGCAAAAACAAACAAACTTCATGTAAAGTATATCTATCGGAAACTACCCTTCTGCTCACATGATCCATAACCTCAGTAAACACGTCACTTAAGTTTTTATGGTCTCAATCACTAGGTAAATACAAAATACAACAACACAGCCCCAATTAGATTCAGAAAGGACAATGTATGCTTTAGGTGAGCTGCTTTGTGGTAAACAATTCTCTAATGTATCAGCATGCAGTGTGTTTTTGTTTCACAGCGAGCTACCTCCTTTACGCCTGCTTTCAAAAATCTAAGATAGGACCACCTAAAACTCCTAAGCAGAGGCTTCAGAAACAGGAATTTATAAAGGAATCAGTGTTACCTGTAGGTTAGGTGCATCTGTTAAATACAGTTTAAGGAATAAACTGCCGCAAATCAATCAGCAGCTGAAAATATTCACTGACCACCACTTGCTAAAGAAACATAGCACAGAAACTGTCTTTGCCCCTTTAACCTTTTCTATTTGCTTATTTAATACTGTACTTAATAAGGCCTACTTTTGTGTAAGTAATGGTTCTTTCTGTCGATGTTCCTGGAAAGTCATTTTCTAGTTGACCATACAGGAGAAAACATGTAGCATAGTTTTTATGGACATGGACTATTAAACCACATTCTTCAAAAACCTGACTGTATTTTAAATCCTGCTGATACTTCCACACATAACTTTGCACATACCCACACACAATGCCATATTGGTTAGCTAAATTAAGGCTAAAGTTAGCAATGTTAGCACTAGACGCCTTCTTTTCTTGCAGGATAGCAACTAAACATTGTTGCTGTCCAATAGAAGGGGCTGCTGGCTCACTAAACGTTGCCTGGGCTACTGAGGGCTCCCAGCATAACGTCTCAGATGTAAGTGAACAGTTTAAACAACTTACAGCTCGTTAGCTGACTAGCATGTGTAGCAAGGTTGGGGAGTTTTCTTTGAGTATAACAACCTGCTTTTTTTTAGTCTTTTCTTTGAATTCATTGACAAAAGTGGTACAGGCAAGGCGACACACTGGAGTTGAAATTGGGTTTGAGTGAAAATTACTCAAGGTTTTCAAACTCATTTTCTACTAGAAGGCAAGCACATTTTAGAGCAAAGCTGTTAATAATATTAATATTTATTACTAATTGAGACATTGTCAAGCATCCAGAATGAGGGAATGGCAGCGAATAAGCAGCAGACTAAAACCTGCTGAATGAGATTCCTTTTGTGCACTGACGATTACAGGTAACATTAACATGATAAACCTGGTGTATTTAATGAAGCACAAGAGAAAATGAGGAAATGCACAGACTTATGAGTAGTTCTGAGTGCTTCAAGACAGAGTCAGTGTCGCTTCTGTGCAGTATTGCAGTATTCTGTATATTACAACTCACTATTGCCAGCCTGTGGGCTGCGTGAGAACACTGACCCTGCTGAGCTGCTCCTGTAACTGTTCCCTTAGAGACAAGGGGCACTTATCAAACTGCCTCTTCAGCTCATTGTACTCATTCCTCTGCTTTTCCAGGGCCTTCCGCTCAGCCGACACATTAGCCCTCCCCTAAAAACACACAGAAATACACACACACACACACATATGTGCACACAGTTATGCCCACATTCAGACACACGTACAACACCAAGGAGAAAAATAAAATCACGGGTAACTCAAATTCATGCAGTCAGGCTTGGAGGCTAACTGGTAATCAAGGCAAGTTAGAGAAGATTTAGAGGAACCAGAGGTTAGGCCAAGCAGAGGTGTTATGCATTTAAGATGTTTAGAGCATTTGGTAAAATGTAATTATTAAATATAATTAAAAGAGCTTCTGCATATCTCATAAGCACTTTTGATCACATTCGGCAAGACTTCAAGTTGTTCTTTTACTCTGTGCTTTTTAAACAGATGTGTGCATGTGTCTCTTGTGTTTTCGACATAAGCAGTGCAAGTCAGTGTATCTAGAATATTTGCATATTTATGATGAATGAGTGAGATTCACGTGTTCAGACGCGGAGGTTCAAGAACATGTTATTCACGTGCAGTTTGTACATGTAAAATCAACGCCTACTGGATTTCCACCCACCTTGTCCTTCTCTTTCTGGGTGGCCTTGTCCAGCTGGTTGAGTTTGAGCTGTAGCTGAGAGATTATTTCATTTTCAGCCTCCACCTGCTCCTGTTCTGCCCGCCACTCTGCCTGCAGCAGGGCTTGCTCCATCTCCACCTACAGACAAATATGGAGTCAGAGTCTGCAAGTTAAACAAATACTATAAAGAGCTTCTTCTCCTCTTGCTGCATTGGTGAGTTGATCTAAGAGCATGCAAGCTAAAAGGTGAAATATTTCATTAATGGTTATAAACGGCAGTGTACATGTGTGCCTGCTGACCTCATGTTTGGTCTCTTGCAGCTGCTGCTCCAGCTCACTGACTCTGTGTTTCAAATCATCAACCCTGGCCAGGATCCTGTTCCTCTCCTCCTCCAGGTAAATCTCCTCCTGTCCAGCTAACAGCTCTTCACACTGAGTGCAGATTTACATATTAATAAAAATAACACAATTCAAATCAGCCACATCATTTAACACTAGGATGTGTATTTTACCTCTTGGTGCGTGCTCTCTGTGCTGCTAGACTCCTCTCTCTGGATTTCCTCGTCGTTCTCTCTCACCCTCTGGTTTCGGCCGTCTCCCGGGAGAGCCATCCCCCCTCCCGAGTCTGAACAAAGTCCTCTACCAGCACCCAGCAGACCACTCTTCACCAGCTCCACAGAGCCGTCCTCATGATTATACTCTGCGCACAAATTCAGGATGGTCTCCAGTCTCTGTCGCTCCTTTAGAAGACATGCAAAATGTAAGCACGGCTGATATTAGAGATCACTGTATAGATTCGTGTCCTTGAGTGACATTGTCCCATTTAGGCAGCTGTCCCTCTGCCGCTGGCATGGGACAACAGTAACCCGATAGCAGCGGGGCTGAAGCTGATGCAGACTGTCTCTCGGGAGGGGGCTTCTTGGTCAAACCTGTCTGAGCTGCTTGAGTTGTTTATGAAAACACAGTCTGCTGTAACTAAGAAATCCCAAAAATGCAAGATCTGTGTGTGCTGGATGAATGTATTGCGGTAGATGTTGCACTTTTTTACAAACTTATTTTTTGCCTACTGCATCATCTCACATGGTTTGAACTTGTGGCCCAGTGTTGTCTCTCATTACAGCAGACAACAGCATGTTTGCTTTAATACTAAAATGATGTGGAGTATGTAATCATCATTCCAGCGAGGAGTCTGGCAATACGAGGTACAATTGTACCCAATGTGCTTCTTCCTGTACTCTGCTTTTGTCTGCTACATAAAAAAATCAGCCAGTTAAAACCACCAGCTCTGTTGTTGCAAGATTTACTCCTCAGACTGTCTGAGGGGAAAAAGCAGTACTATGAAAACTATGAAATGACATTTTAGATTAGGAAAAGGGGCTAAATATATAGATATAAAGTCAACGTAAACCATAAAATGGTTTAACCCCTTAGCAGTCCAATTAGTCCCCTAAACCATCCAATGTACCGTGGGCGGTACGTCCGACTGCTAACAGGTTAATAGATTGTAATGCTAATTATTTAAAGCTATATGTTATTACATTTTTAATACAAGTGAGCATAGTAAAGCAGGTTTTAAGTTGAATATTCAACATTAATTCTTACTTAGTTTCACCCTTAGTTTGCATCAGTAGGCACAATACAAATTATTTTAATACCTCTGAGATGTTGTCTCATGGAGCACAGTTATTCTGAAAAATATGTATTTACATAAATATCTTAGATTTTCAGATCTCCAGATGCTGGAGAATCTAGATTTTCATTAACTTCATTAACAAGCGACCAGTTTCTCCACTTCACCACAGTGTCTGCTTCACCTAAAGGTAAATGCGTTTCATTATAAAGAAAAAATGGGGAGTGCCCACATTTCATAAACCCGAAGAAAATTTAGCATATGCACTTTATAACAACATTTCCACACACATATTAGTAAATGAGGACCACTGTCAGAAGCCATGCTTGTTGGTTGTTTTTTATAATTGTAATATTTTGTAATATTTTGTCCAATAATTGTCCATGAGGTAATTTTTGCAATGATCTTCACTCCTGGGAGGATTGGCAAGTGTCTTGAATGTTTTTACACTAGTGAATAATCTTCCTCACTGTAGAACGATGGATTTCATATTGAACGAGTGTGTACTTTTCTGTTCCACGTGACTGTATGAGTTGTTACTATAACCAACGAAGCAAATGCATGAATTTTGGGTTTGAGTGAAAATTACTCAAGGTTTTCGAATTGAGAAAGGAAACTTTCTCAATTAACTCCAGCTCTCTCTCAAAAATACCCTGTGGCCACTTCTCAGTGGAAGTGGTGCTAAAATTAAATTCTCTATTGCATTACTTCCTCTCTGACAATGCCCTTTGCTTTTCCTGAGAGATAACCTGCAGAATAGGGTTTTAAAGTGCAGGCAATATTATAACTATAGGTGGGTTCTGCATCTGTGCCAACTGTGCCAAGAGTGTGGCTTGCCAAATATAGGAATGTATTTTACTGAGAGGATATCCTCCTTTTGTCTGTCCCAGCAGGTCTGCAATTTGTGTGTTTGAGGGTTTAATACAAGATTATGATACTAAAAAACAAGAACGTTTTATAGGCCCTGAAAATGTTTCTCTACATGCCAGTGGGGTTTGTTAGCGCCATTCTACTAAAGAACCAAGACTGTGTGGTAAAAACGAGAGGGCAGGAGAGAATCACTGCTCCAGCTGACACTGGGAGAGAGCTGGATTATCACAGGGCTGACACACAAAGACAGACAACCATTCTTGCTTAAACAAGTTATAAATCTACCTAACAGACAATAAACCAGGGCACGTGGACAAAACCCATGCAGTTACTGATACTGAGGGAAACGAGAGAAAAATAACAGGCAGGTCTGAGCCCAGGACTGGCTTTGAAGCGAGATTGCTAAACACCACATGGCAACATGGCAACCGAAAAATTAATGTAAAAAGAAAAAAAAACAGCCTACTAGAAACTGCTAAAGCTCATAATTTAACTTTTCATTCTTAGTAGGACCCAGGTTTACACTTAAGGCACTTTTCCAACCTTTCTGCCAAATTAAGCCAAAAAAAGCTTTTTAACCTCTGATCAGAGTCCGGCTTACTTTTTATCCCACACTGGCCTTCATGCAAATAAGCTAATGAGCCAAACCTCTACATAATTATTATCTGACTTTACAATAATTAGTTAATATTACAGTTGCCTATTAAAATGGTCACAAAGTGGTTGGTCGAGTCAGAACATGTGATTTCTATATGTGTGCTATTACTCAGTAAAGTTTCATAAAGCTTCTGCATAGGAAGGTGTTTGACAAAACAGCAAATGATATTGCTTTTAGCCTGTGAAAAACTAAAGTCAAATACTGGAATTAAATTAAAATATATATACACATAGATATAGATTTTCCACTTATGTAAAGTCCTCTTATTTCTGTCTTTTCACCTGCTTTCTCGGCCCTTTTCTTACTCTTTCTTCATGCCTGTCAAGCCCGGCATTGCCATATTACACTTGCACTTAAGAACAATAACAAAAATGAACAAGAGGAGCCTAAAGAGAGTATATAGTGCTCATTTTGGAAAAGCAAATATATTTGACACAATAGTGAATTCAGATCCCAATTTTGATTCCAAGAGCTGCCAGACAAGACAGGCTTATAAAGAAATAAATTCAAATATAGATCACAAGGGAAAAAAAAAAATAATCAGCACACGCTTAGTTCAAGAAATATCTGTTCTTTAACTCCTTGGGTAGTAGACAACGTGTTCTACACATGACACTGCAGGTGACTCAACACAATTCTAGAGTAGCTCAAGTAGTAACTATTTTATTTGTTACCAGAAACCCTTTGGGTCCTTAAATAGAGTGCGGACATGAAGGCCAGGCAGCGACCAGCCGCTGAGGTGGGCGCTTCAGCTGTCACTAAGCCGGCAGGATGAGGTGGGGCTGATGTATGGGGGTTGGGTAGGGGGAGGTGTGTGTGAGGAGTAGACTGAAGATGGATTACAAGTATACGATCTGTGATCGAGTGTGGGTACAAATAGGAAAGAGCCTTGAGTCGAGCGCAGATAGCTTTGAAAGTAAAAGCAGCTCATTCTCTTGGTAAATAACCAGCCCGACCCTCCGCTCTGGACCCCAACACTTCTGGAAGAATGTTCACTCCGTATCACTCGGGCCACATGGGCTGACCATTCCAGTAATGCTCAGAGGAGATGAGCTGCTGGAAGTATGCAACAGGATTTAGAGAAGACATGAAAGCAGACATGGAGTCTGCTATGCCAGCAGTGCCTCTTCTACTTAACTGTGTTTATGCCCTTTATAGTCATACACTTTGTTATCCCTGTAGTCTTAGTCTTCATTCATAGTCCTGTGTTGTTTTTATTGCTGTGTATGAAGCTAAAGATCTCTGTTCATAGTGTGGAAAATAAAGTAAATATGTTTATTTCCTTTCTACAATCAAACAAGATTCAAACACTGCTAAAAAGAGATTGAACACTGCACTTATACTTGTTTCCACAACTGCAAACCAGTATTGATGTTCACTTACCAGTTTCTCCATTTCCTGCTCACGCAGCCTCTCCTCTCTCTGCCAGCGATGGTATTCAAGCAGCTCGTCCTCATTGTCGCTGATCTCAGAGATGCTGTTTTTACGTTCCCGAGTGTATGGTTTTGGAAGATTTGGGTCCTTGCCGGATGATCCCTTGGCAGTCGGAAAAGAAGTCTTTCTTACGCTATGAGGGCTAGCGACAGGAGACAAGCCAGATGCAGAGCCTAAGCTTGAGACCATGGCATTTCCTGGCGCAGGCCTTGACTGCCTGCTTCCCTGCTCCTTCTCCAGCCCAGGGAGTGGTGATGGACTCTGGGCATACAGTGCCCGCATGACTTCTGCTTTTGAAGGAGTCGTGAGTTTGCGGTTGCCCTGGGGGCTCTCTAGGATGGGGTTAGCATTGAAGCCCTGTGAGGGAAGGGGCAGAGCCGAACCCTGCGATCCTGAGGTCCCTCTGCCGGGCACCCTCAGGGCGGTGGACCCAGACGAGTCTGGAGTAATGACCCTTTGAGATATGTCTACATGGGAAAGAGACTGAACCTGCTCTCGCAAGGGGCTCTGGGATCTCTTCTGTAGGGTGGAACCCCTTAATTGAGGACTTGACGGAGTCTTTGGGTAAAACTTGATGGATGATGGTTTGTGGCTTTGGCTTAAGTTTTCTGCGCTCTGTCCTGACCCCCTGATATGTTGTGTGGGGCATGATGTTGCCTCTGCCCTTGCGTTCCTCAGAGGCTTTGGACTCTCCTGGGCCTTTTGACTTCCACTGGTACCACTTGCAGCCACAGAGAGTGAGGGCCGTGGATGCGGGACAGGGGTGTGATTGGTATGAGGTAACCGGGCAGGTGTTTTGCTGTCAAGGTTATAGCCCAGGAAGCTGCTGCTGTTCTCATAAATTGAGACATCTATTTTGGAGTTGCTAGTTCCATTGAGCATGTCTGGGGGAACGGGATGTTTACCAATCCCCGGTGATGATGAAGTCTTGAGCACCAAAGAGTCCTGCAAGGTTTTTGCCATACTGTTAATTTTGGAGTCATGGTTCCCATTCAGAGCCTTATGGGGGTCTGCAGGAGGAAGACAGAAACACTTGTGCATGAGCATTCCTGCTGAATAAAGGGAGAAGACAGTTGAGCAAACACATAAACACTCAGTGTGACATCTTTGTCCTTTTGACCTCCACCATGCCTCAGGACGGCTGCAGGACACAGAGGGTCAGTCCACACAAGGAAAAACACACCCCGCCTGCGCATGTTGTTGCACACGCACATTCATACATAGTGGCTTAATAGTGATAAATGTCTTGGAGCCCATAGGTTCCTGTATGAACCAGTGGTCGGGATGCTCCTTAGCTGTGCTGCAATCCTAAAGGGATCCAAAGCAGCTAAATATACATCGACAGCCATGTACCTCATTCAGAGCAGATGAAATCAGGGTTTGGTCAGGAAAGAGTGAACACAGTGGGCAGGGTGTGGCGGCTCTTACTGTTCAGGCACTGACAGCCAGAGCAGTAAGGTCAGAGGAGAATAGATTCTAAATATCACCTAGAGCACATGGCAGCAGTTACAGTAGGCGGTGGGCCAGAGTAGTATAACATAACACAAATGTAAGTGTAACAGCTGACATATTAAAAGCAAGAAAAGATTACAGCAATCTTTTTGTGCAACGAGGTCACACACTGAGCGAGAATCACAGATTTAAGTGGAGTAGATCACAATGTAGGCCACAGATAATTAGCTCTGAACAAGCTATTTCTGCATCCTGTCAAAGATAATAATATTTCAGTCAAACGTCAAGACTAGCAGGGCTGAAAATGTTTGACTTTTTCGCTTTTGCAACAAGTATCTCGGTCAGATTTTGTTTACTGCTTAATCTGTGGGTATTTTAAAAAGGCAACCACCTAAAGTTTGATGTCTGAATGTCATTCTACCCAGACATCCGGCCTCTTAATCACTTTAAACTAAACAGTGTCAAATTGTAAGGCACCTATTCAACATTAACAGGAACTGATTGACTTTTACAGCAGGAAATTATGACTCCAAAGTGGTTTGTGTGCCCAAAGCATTTGCTCTGCCCAGAATAGCTGCTGAGCAAACTGTGCAACCCTCGTACACACAGTTGTTGCAACAAGATTATATTAGGATCACAGGAAATGTTGGAATGGTGTTTGCATTTAATAATCATTAAAATGGGATCTTTACCAGATGGAGTTTTTGTGGCGCTCAGCCCGCGGGTCCCCTCTGGTAGCATGCTCTTCATCCTCTGAGCCTCTTCGGGATGGTTGAAACGGAAAAAGGCCGACTGACCGAAGCACAGCATGCACCCTGCCAGGAGAGGCGGCCATGGACATACAAAACTTTAGAGTCAACATCATTCATATCACACTAAATCTACAGCAATAAAACTGGACTGTTGTTAATCTATGTATTTTTTCCAAACATTATAATTTAATTTAGATCTTACAACTTTATACTTTTTACAGACCACTGCATGTGTCCTACAGTATGCAGACCAATTCATGCTTTCCTTTGTCAGTAATTGGTGCACTGGAAGGTGAGTGAGGTGTGATTGCAAACCACCAGATGAGGTGGTAAAATAAGGATTTCTTTCTTTTTTGATGATGAAATGCCGAGTTTGAACCTCCTAAACAAAGTTTTGACTTGTTAACTAACATGAGCTGACTAGTTCAACTTACATGTAATTAACCGGTAAGTGAAATCAGCTCCTCATCAGTAGCTTGCATTTCTGGAGTCTTTCAAGAATCCCTGTACTGATATTCCACACGAAGTTTAACATGTAGCTGATCCTTTAGAGTCCATAGACCCGCATCATTGTTCCTTATGATGTATAAACAAAGCCATTTCCTCCATTTACGAGTACTCGTCTTTTTCAGTTGTCCTTTGAATGAAGCAAAGCCTGAAGTATTCTTGTTCAGCAGCTGCTGCCTCCACACATACCGGCTTCAAATGACATTTTGGTATAGCTGCTGGCTTGGATCTTATAGAGAGGGGACTGAGGGGGGTGGGACTGTAATGTCTTTTTTTTTTATAGCAACTATGCATGTTACCGGAAGGGCTTGGAATTGTTTTGTCATCATGACGCCTGGCAGTGTTTTTATCAACGTAGCCTTAATTTAGACATTCAGATACTCAACATTTTATTTTCTATTGCGGCTCTGCAAAAGCAACTGTTTGCCCTACTCAGTCTGTCACCATCAGGTTTATATTTTGTATTTTGGTAAAAGTGGTAAACAGGGTAAAGAGCAGTTATTTTAGTTACTTAAGCCTGTGACGGTGCTACCTTGAGTAAGCCGATAAGGTTTGGTGAGGCGAACGCCATCTGCTGAGCACTGGTTTCCACATGGGTACAAGGTGATGTTGCCTGCCTGGTTTTCAATGTAGCAATGCTTAGCTGCGATGCCGGGGCCCTGCAGGGGGATATCTGTCCCCTCACTGCCCAGCGTGGTTTTCCCTGCAACAAGAAAGAAAAACATCTGTCAATAATTTTGGAGAGTCATGTGGTTCGAAATACATTAGTAAAACATTCTTAGACCTGCAGTTCAAAGCCAGTGATGATGGGAGTTGAGTCACAAATGGAACCAGCTTATGAACTCATGTTAAATAACAGGTGTAGGTCTCAGGAGGTGTGTTTAGCCTGACAGATAACAGGGATCTCATCAGTGGAAATTAATACACCCATCTGCTGACCCTGGTGTGTTGTTCTTAGGTTATCAGTTACATTTTGTCTGTAGGTACAGTAAATATAGCCTGACACAAACACATACTATATTTATATTTTAGCACAGAGGAAATGGAGCACACACACACACACACACACACACACACACAAATCCCCTCTTCTCTGGGGTGCCACAGCCTCTCCTCTCTCTCCTGTCAAATGTTAAGGCTCGGGGGAAGACGGAGACAAATGGTGCAAGGAAATCACAGGCAGCATTTGTAAGTGTGCCTCAGTACAAGTAACAACAACACGCTCAGAAGTTAGTGTGTCATCAGTCACTGTCACTTTATTACTCTTGACATTCTGTGCTGCTTACTTATTAAAGAACAATTGCCTCACATTTGGCAATTCCACTTAAGGAAGTGTCAGTAAAATACAGTAGACTCCACTTATGATTATAATTCTCCAGTTGAGACCCTAACTGTCAACCAAACACACAGATATATTCTCAAAACCACACACACACACACACACACACACACACACACACACACACACACACACACACACACACACACACACACATAAGGGTTGTGACCTTCCAGCAGTGGTAGTAAAGTGATGGCTGTGCTCAGGCGTCCACTTCCCAGGCTGACCAGGTGGGGGCGCTCTGCCTGGACTTTGAGGGATTTGCCTGTTTCAATCAAGTCGAGCGGAGTGCTCTGTTAAAATAATAAAACATCATCAGAGTTATTTTTACACAGCATAAGGATCTGTTTAAGACAATAGTAGTGGGTAATATTTGGATCTGTATGCATGAAGTAAACAGCGTGTCACAACATAACATATAGCATGTAATTAAGCCTGAGTTGGATTGTACTACAGGCCTCACCCAGTAATGTGGCTTTTTTTTTCTCTCCCATGAATAAGATTTACAGATGGACAAATTCTTATGTGTTGTACATGGCATTAGTTCAATAGTCAGCTACATTTTGTGATGCTGGAAATAAATCCGTGCACAACCCAGATGTCTGTCTGCAGCTGGGAGACACTGGGATCATTTTAATAGGATAATGACTGATTTTATTTGGCAAAGTCAGACGTATTTGTTAAAAAATAAAGAGTTGTAGAAAGAAAGTCAGAAAAGTTAGAGCAAAAGCACACTTACATTACTACACTTATAGTCTTGTGCTATAAAACCAGATATGCTTGCTCTGAAAGCTTGCACTAATGGATGTGAAGCTGATATTACTGCTATGCTCCTGCTTTTAAACGCATAAACCTCTCAGTAATGCTGAATAAAGCTGACTTACAACAGATGCTGCTAGTAAAACAAGTTACAATTTAACTTAACTTGTGTCTGCTATAAATAGTCAGTGGCACCGCAGGAAGAAATGCCTCACCTGTAAGACCTGGTGCGTTTGTCGCCCATGCTCCACTTTATTCCTGCTCATGCGGTCCATGTCGGCTGGACTGGCAGAGTTATCCGACTCATGAAGGTCCTGAAGCGCAGAGACAGAGTGGCAGGGCATGAATGGGAGCGCTGGGAATACTGCTACTACAGTTGTACTACAATGAGAACAGTGCTTTCCATAGAAACCCTTCTGTCCCAGTTATAAGCCCATGTGACCAAACCGTTGTACAGAGTAATTGTTTCTTCAGAACTAAACACAGAGCAATCCATCAAGAAAGCTGCTATTGATTTATGCCTCAGCCTTTAAAAAAAAAAAAAAAAAAACGTTCGAGAATGAGAGCAACAAACACAACAATAGCAACCACAGATTTTATGTGAGATGTGCTTTGGATGCATAGCAGAAGGTTTGAGCTGGCTCTGCAGGTGCTTTACTCATCAGGGGTCAGATGACTGCTTCGTCTGGCTGTGGTGAGTCACCGTGATCTTACAAACAAACAGTCCAAACTGTCTGCAGAAACATGTTGCAGATTAGAGCCGGCTGTCTGCTCGTCTTCCTCCAGTCAGACAGGAGAGCTACAACAAGCCATGAGGACTAGACATGGCTCAAACAAACACGCACAAACACATAGGCAGCCCGGATGACTCACTCATATTTCCACTAAAAGCTCCCATCCGCATCTTTCACTATCACTTGTTTTGCATTCTGGGCATCTAAGCAAAACTAGAGTAGACGCAACTACCTTACTATCTAATGTCTGTTGTGTCTACCCGAGGATGAAGAGCTGCTGTGTGTCGTGCTTGACTCTTGGTTTTACATTTCAAAGTAGAGCTCAACGCCGCCAGTGCCACTGTGCTTGAATGATTCAGTTTAAACTCTGTGACATGTCTTGCGGTGTTTGTTATAGTGCACAGAAGACACGTCATTCCCACAGACACTTTTTTAAGGGCCTGAGCTCTTTGTCGGCCTATGTTGTCATCACTGATTAATTAAAAAACATTTAAATATCCAGCGTGCTCCAAGTTTAGCTCACGGCGTTTTTACACAACAGGGCGTTCAGTCTGCGTCTGATGTCACTCCAGGCAAGGCTGCTGGGTGAAACCGCATACGTCTGACAATCGCGTCCAGTGTGCGAATCTCAGAGGACCCAGTGACACGAAGAACAGACCGTCCCCTCTATTCGTCACTGACACAGGACCCCTCGCGCCTCTGCTGTCAGCCCCACTGCCTGTCAACACTGGGCCTCTTTGAGCCACGCAGTCAGACACAGGACAGGAGAGTGGGCAGGCTAATGTGCCTCTGTCTGCCTCACTCACACACTCACACACACAAACACATATGCTCCTGCTCCGAAAAGCCTCAGTGATTTAACGTACACACCCAGGCAGAGGAACAGTTTTAATGCTTGCGAATGCAGGCCCTCGCATAGTAACCTGTCATTATGGAGGCAGTTATGCCCTTCAGAGCTGCCACAAGCTTCTGAAAATAGATACTTGCCTGCCACACAGACTGGGCTGCCACTTTTAAAGAGAAATGACTTTGGTTTAGAGTGAACAATGAAAAATCAGAGGAATACACAGAAAATCTAACAGCTGGAATGATCAATAAAAAACATGAAATAAAATAGAGTTCTATTACAAAGAGAAGATATTAGCACAACAGTGCTGGTGAAAACAGCCAAGTGTTTACTTACTTCACTGACAGACAGGCAGCTTTTACCATCTCTTTACTCTTGCTAAGTCCAGACAAAAGCTGGGTCCATGGGTTTGCCTGACAGTTGCTAGCACATAGAGCAGTGTCCACATTATTGTGTATGTCTAGCTCCTTGCTTTTTTCATTCACTCACTGAGTTCCTCTGCTATTTCCCTCCTCCCAACCCCTTCTCCTGCCCATCCCGGTGCAGAATTACATCAGATTACAGTTACAAACAGTAGAGGGGAACCAGGCACTGCCCTCCAAAACATACTCCCAATTCCTCCATATTGATTGCTTCTCCTTTTTTTGGCAATTATGAGTAAATAACTTCACCCGAACATGCAGTTTCAGAACACTCCAGAATTAGCTCTGCACAGAGTTCACATCCTGCTGAGAGAATGGTTGAAATGTTCAGGCTCTCAACAAGCTTTCCATTAAATGAAAGTTCAAATGGACCGCACCGCCCAATCACACAAGGCGGGGCTGTCTCCTTAAAAGTGTCTATGGGTTAAGCAGGTGTTAACAGTCTGACCCATGCAGGAAATAACATAAAGTGTAGGAGGCGGTGATGGAAAAGACCTTGTGTCCTCTGACTTCCTGCTCTGAGCTCTGGACCGCTGATGCAACGAACTCCAAAAGAAGTGTTTCCACTCTGGAAAACTGTCGAACAACACTTTATGATAACGCTAACTAAATGGACGACGGTGGATTACAATGCTTCCACTGTGTAATGATGGAGCAGAGCGATATGAAAGGTCCACAGGAAGTGAGCGAACACATGTGAGCATCTTTTCAGACGTCCCACAGGAACTATTTGGCTTACAGACAAACACAGAGAGAGTAGAAGAGAGTGGGAGAAAGCCTCCACTATTGATCTCTCAAGGCTTTTCCCATGGTCGGCGGCCAGAGAGTAGAGGGAGGAAGTGAGACGGATGATGACTCACTGAGGAGAATGAAAACAAACAAACAGAGGCAGCTTAGTAACCCGATGGACTGAAGACTGCAGAGGTCTGCAGATATGGTTTGTGTTTTGAGTCCTCAGCGATCATGTGGAGGCTACAGCTGAGGAGGTAAAGTTTACTGAATGACCTTTAAATGGTGATTACAATGGAAATCCCCATATAGCTGTCCATCCATGTGAACAAGCAGATGGAAGTGATTTTTAAATACAATGCAGTCTTTATTATTTAACGAAATGGAACATCTGAAAGATAAATGGTGAATGTAGTTATCTAGGGCCAAGGAGTTTCCACATATCTTTCTTTAACAGAATAGATAGCTGCTTACTTACTTATATAGATAGGTACCCAAGTGGATATCAATATATTACTTTAATCAAGGAGCACTACCATGAAGATAATCTAAGGAGCTTGGAAAGAATAAACCTTTCACCTCTCATCTGAGAGGCTTCTTCAGTTCTGCAGTTGCCATGACGATAGTAATAATTATTCAAACATAGACTAAAGACCATCCATCCATTTGCTTCCACTTATCCAATTCGGGATTGCAGGAGCCTATCCCAGCTGCCATGGTGCATCAGGTGGGGTTGACCCTGCACAGGTATGTCACATGGCTAAGAAAGAGAGACAATCAACCATTCACACCTATGGCCGACTGACAATCAGTAGTTAACCTAACCTTACTAACAGCATGTCACTGAACTATGTAAGGCAGGGGAAAAACATTGCTAACCACTGTGCCACCATGCTGCCCAGTACCACAGTGTAATTCTCATAGAGGAAAGTATATAAATGAAGTCAGACAAAGCAGGTAAAGTGGAGTTGGTGGGGAGGTGGGTTGCAAAGTAGCTTGCAGATGCACAAAAGTTCAGGCAGGCAAAGCAAGTTGAAGATGAACTTTTCAGTCTTTCTGAACTGTCTGCAGTGATATCTCAGCCTGGCTGTGAGCACTCTGGGATGATAATAATAAAAGTCCAAAACAAGCTATGCTGTGAGTGTGTGATTTCCCACAGATACTGAACTGCTTGTCTTGTAGGAGGTTTGGATCAGTCAGCTTGTGAACCCTGCAGTTACACACTGTGAAACAGATGTCTGCAGGTCTCTGCAGGATGACATTAGGCTGCAGGTGGAAACAGTGAAGATGGCAACAATTATGCAAGTGGGGGCTCAGGCAGTCAACACTCATGCAGGCTGTGTAGGAAGCTTGATGAGAAGCAGCTTACACATAACGCAGATTTCATTGCCTTAAATTGAGGGTCTCGCTCTTTACTTCCTCTCAGACCAAGCATAAATCCTACCCCTTCCCTTAACACTGACAGGACAAAACAAAACATTTCCTTTTAGACAAACCTTAACCTAAATGTAACCTGTAATTATTCTGATGCCACATGTTGAGGGGTTGGCGAGGCTCAGCTCAGGACAGGAAATACTATCCAGAAGGAGGCGGTGATCGTGGAGCGATCACAGAACATCTGCAGCCCAAAGTGTTTGTAGAGTTATGGGAAACACCGGGTCTCATTTTTGGAATAATATCAGAACATTGCTGCATTATTGCTGTACAGCAATAATGCACACACACAAGAATGCCATTCAAACCTCCTGATTGGCTAAATTGAAACAAATCCAGTCACACTGAGAAAAAACAGTACCAGCTCAAATCATGTGATTAGTCAAATGATGCTCAGAAAAGGCACAAAGCCAAACAAACTAGTGAACAACAGGAAATTAGAGACATTACCACAAAAGAGTTTGAGTTGCCCACAAAACCAATGGACTGTCTTCACGCGTGACATCTGTCCACTTGTCTTCTTCAGCTTTTTTAGTATGTCTGTATGGACTCATCAGATACTTATTTACATGTAAACAAGCAAATTTCCCTCAAAGCAAGAAAGCTATACTCACTCAGGCACAGTTGCACCTCACTGGCATGTCGGAGAAATACCTCACCATACTGTTATTTCGCCAAAGACAGCCTGAGAACTCTCTCCCTCTCTCTCTCTCTCACACACACACACACACACTAAAGTGTCCATTCAGAGCCACCTGGGTTTGGCTCCTATTTTTCTCCCTGTCAGATGACTTTCACCTGCTCATGCCTCCCAGTTAAATCAAAAGCCTGCCTTTAAAGATAATGCAAAGATGCGTAACCTGCCGCAAAACCCTGGTGATGCCCTTCTGTCTTCCACACACACATACAAACACTCAAATAAATATTTTTGTTTTCCCATACCCAAGCTCGAAAGGAACATCTCCTCTTCTGCAGTATGATTCAGTCCAAAGATTAAAAACACAAGACATGGCATCCTCCCAAGCTTTCATGTGAAAAGTCTTCCAGTTCTTTTCTCGAGCATCTTCGCTGCTGTTGAGTAACGTTCAAAGTGAATGTTTCGGTGCGTCTGAACATCATTGTAGCAGATCCAACCCCCCTCTTTCCAGCCCTCTTTTTTTTTCTCTTCCCACTCATCATTCCTCTTTCCCTTCATTAAGCAGGTCCTTCTGTGTCCATGTATAACTTTGTTTCTCACAGATTTGTTGTTTATACCAAGATTTTCTCATGTTCAGACAAATATAGTTGTTTATTTCACAGCAGCTTGAGTACATCTAAACTCTATTACTTTTCAGATGCTGTATAAACAAAGATTACCCATGAACTTGGAAAAACCCTTCTTTTCAGTCTAGATATTTGCTTTTGTTCCAGTCACAGCTTCACCAAACTGTAATTAACATACGAGGTGTTTTGTGGATAATGAAAATCAAAACTTCAAAACTTGCAGAAGGAAAGCCAACAAATTCCATGAAACGACCAAAATGACTGTTTTACCAGAGATCTTTTTTTTGTTGTTGCCACAAACAGCTGAAAAGAGCATCACCAGTAAATTTAGAGACTGTGAAAATGTCAACTCAGAAAATTATAGTTATAACAGCCAGTGGACACCGGGGTTTTTCCTTCTGAGCTGGAATTTTTAGCCTGGATGTTGGTGTTGGACACGTTGTCAAGCCCGAGTAATTGGTTCAGCCTGTCCTGGGCTCGGCTCAAACTTGGTGCGTCATGCTGCTTTTGCCACTATAAAGCACTCAAAGCAGACTGAAATATGTCCTGTGGAAAGGTTACGGGTGAGTTTAGCTGCACTCGACTGAGGTTTAATGAGAAAATATGTAATCCATCCCCACCTCTGATATAAAACAACCAATCATTTTATCAGTTATGGATCCCACAAAAGGATTAATTATGTATTATAGCTGGGCATATACTAATGACACTTTAAAATAGTGCTTTGCTGTGTTTTTTCAGATGTCGTACTATTTTATGTAACAGTTGAAATCCTTTCTTTCCTCCGTGTTATGAAATGGCTTATGGTGCACATCTGTCAGCACAGACAGTGATCTGTCTTCAATAGTTGTTAAATAAAAACACATATGGGCAACAATCAGTTTATGCCACAAGTCATTTTGTGAACTTTTTCAAACATCACATGGTGACCCCTGGTGGCAGCATTTGGGAATTACACTCCAGATGTCATGTTTCCACTGACTGAAAGTTTGGTGTAATTTCTGCCAAATGCTTTCTTTCCTTGATGGGGAATTAAAGGTATTTTGAGCACTTTGAAAAGCAGAATGAACAACTGTCTGTTAGCAGGTGTCTTGTTGTGATGCACTATTTGAGACATTTTCAATCAATGCTCATAAATGCTTATGATCTATGGCAAAGATGTCAAACTCATTCTGCAAGCCAACTTTTGTTCCAAAGAAATTTTTGAGTTTAACTACACATTTAATCCCTAAGATATCTTTATATGAGGGGAAAACTGGCTGATTTCAATAGTATGACTTGGTTTTTCTACATGATAAAGAAATGCTGCTGTAGCAACTTAATGAATTCTTGTACTTAAATTGTTAGAAATGTTAGAAGAAAAAAAAAAAACGTGTAAAACTGCAGGAAAAGTCCCAGACTGTCCTGTAAATACAAAACAAAAAAGTGTTGTGGATTGTAAAACTGAAATTTCTATAGTAGATAGTGTAAAACGTATGAAAACACAGTTAAAAGTACTAAATTTTCACCCTTCTTCACATTTTCCAAAACTGTCCAGTGAGTCGGACTGGAGTCTGCTGGGTCAGTTCTGGCCCCGGGCCTCATGTCTGTCACCCCTGATCTATGTGGAGATAATTTACTGCCTAACATCTAATTATTCTGTGCTTCGGAATAATGAAATATATTACTCAAATTATTCCTCAGTGGTACGGCTGCTGCACAGGAGCTGTGCATACTGGGTCAGACGTCACTGTGCTGGTAAACTGCAGCTGCCGGTTTCTTCACATGTAACGAGGAAACACCTGGAGCTTTAAGGAGAATGAGCCGTTGGCATGTTTTTCAAGCTTTAACCACACTTTGAACAAACAAACATATTATTCAGGTCGCTCATACGCAAAGATAAAGGTGGAAGCAAATACAAAACAAATGGTAAAACACCCCACCTTAACTCTAGAAATGGGTTACTAGAGCTCCAATTTCTCAGGCATATACCCAAGGAACACTAAAGCAGGATAAAAAGAGCATGTATGCAAATAATCTTCCCTTCCTAATGGGTGCGTTTCACTTTACAGTGATATTACTTATTACTCCAAAAATATAGTCATTGATTGAGGCTGTTAGGTCTGTTGGTCATTGTGGTGCAGGAAACCCTTCAAAATGGATACAAATTTAAAACTGCTCTGTGCATATGAACACTTTTTTGAGAGCTGAAACTCAGATTAGGGTGAGTTATTTGTAGCATGTTATGCTTTAGATGGAAATACGCAATACATATAATACAATATGCCTACACAGATCATTATTTCAGCCACAAATGCATACTAAAGAGCCCTTTCTGCCAAACCAAAAGTAATTTGTAATCAGTCACCACAAAAGCTGCTCAGTCATGCTACTAATAAGGTGAAATGCAACCGGTGTTTCAGGCTCTGGCCCATGTACCTACAGTAAATGTTGATAAGTGGAGGCCATTTTTGTTTTCCTTGTTTGTTGTTAACCGCCGGTCATGAAACAAAGCCCTGGTAAATGAATAGTGTTATATTACAACTCTCGAGCTCACGGTATAATCAGTGGGGTTAGAGACCACCAGTCTGAAATTCAGCTCAACCGGCCAGGCTAGCAGGTCTCCAAAACTAGCAAGTAGCATCGATTAGCCTGAAATCAGCAGAATACATCAGTGCTTACAAAACAGACTTTTTATTAAATAAAAATCATGCGAAAGGGGATGCAAGACAGCAATAATCAGGAAAAGTTGCTCTTTCAATTAGGAGTGGGTGGCCCTTAAAAGGACCGTTGGGTGTTAAGAGTTATTAGCTAGCAAGCTAATACTCCTGTGACTGAGAGGAGGCCTTCTTTCCCGCTTTGCCGGAGCTCGGTGCAGACTGGCCGGTCTTCTTGGGCAGCAGGACGGCCTGGATGTTGGGCAGGACGCCTCCCTGTGCGATGGTCACGCCACCGAGGAGTTTGTTCAGCTCCTCGTCGTTGCGTACAGCTAGCTGGAGGTGGCGAGGGATGATACGAGTCTTCTTGTTGTCTCTGGCAGCATTGCCGGCCAACTCCAGGATCTCAGCGGTGAGGTACTCCAGGACGGCGGCCAGGTAAACTGGGGCCCCGGCGCCAACTCTTTCTGCGTAGTTTCCCTTGCGGAGAAGACGGTGGACACGGCCGACGGGGAACTGCAGACCGGCGCGAGAGCTGCGAGTCTTAGCCTTGGCACGTGCCTTTGCTCCAGTTTTACCTCTTCCAGACATCGTTGGTTATTTAAATAGTTCTTCGGAATCGAACCACAGCAGTCGTTGGTTTGCTAGTGATGAAGAAGAAATCGCAGCCTCTATATAAACCTCACGCTTTGTCCCGCCCTAACCTGCCATTGGGTTTTGGAATAAAAGTGCTGTTATCTGATTGGCCCTGAGAGAAACGTCGTGAGAGAAAATTAATTACTATTGGTGGATCTCTCCTGGTTTGTAAACAATCACGATGGAGCCTAAAAGGAAGACGCACGGTCGATTGGCTGTTACTGTTACTGCTTTCTGTCAGTGGGTCAAAAGTAAAAAAGGAGGAGCCAGAAAGCCAATCGATTATCTTCCCTCCAACTTTAAATTTTTTGGCGCGCAGACCAGCTCTACGGTAAAAGTTAAATGGAACATTTAACCCTCTGATGTGTGTGTATTGGAAGCCAAGCTTCGTACGCGCTGACCAGTGCAAAAACCTGGACGAAGTATGACCACGTGGCAAATAACATCGAAGATCTGTGTGCCAAAATGATTAAACTTTACACCAAAATATAAAGCTGTTTTTAACTAATAATTTAACTGAAGTTAAAAAAAATACATTATTGTGTACCAACAGGAAATGTTTCTAGATTTACTCATTGGTCAAATGTTCCCACCCGTCCATGCATGTAATAGTTATACATACACATTTATTTCGACTAGTGTGTCTACATAAGTGAGTTTCAAGTAGACCTTTTTGTATTCCAATTGTAATACCTATTCAGAATTCCTTAAATATTTCCCTTAACAAGAATCTTATTAATAAATAAATACATCTAATACTAAACAAAAGCCAAATATTTTTAACAATAAAAACTAAACGGGAAACCAAACCGCTTCAAAAAGAAGCTACCCTTGAAAGAATAAAATGCTGTAAAGGGGCTCTCATCTTATGACCATCGGTATGGAGAGGCCTGCAAGACTTTGGAAAACTACAGGACACCATCCCCCACTGCATCCAAACAAAGACCTATTGACCTGAGTGTCTTCTACTGCAGGTCTGAGAGGAAATGTGCTCTTCTCAAACTTAACAACAGCAGTCCCCATCTTTATCATCCTCAGATATTTAAACTAAGAACAGGTTTAATAGATATACAGTATGTGAGTGCCTTACTCTGCACTATGTGTCCCGTGTATAGTTTGGTTTATATGCCATGCACGTATCTGGTCAGACCTTTTTTAGCTAATCATAGCTGGAACCACATTTCTTTTGTGCACTTTTTCAAGTAAATTTGATTTTGATGAAAACATATAACTGAGAGCCAGCAAGCAGCATTAGCAGACTAAGCAATTACTTGGGGCCCCCATGCTAGCAGGCAACCCCCACCCACCAAGACCGCATGAAATGTCACACAAGACAGGCTAATCGATGTATATTTTGTGTGTGTGAAATATTAATAGTAATTGTAGAAGTGAAAGTTACATATTGTTACTAATATATTAGAAGACTGGTGCCTTAATGCCATTGGTTTAATCATTTTCACTGTAAGAGCTGGGTAAGATACTAAACCCAAGTTGTTCTCCGATGTATTCACATATGTCTCCAAAAGTTTAAATTCTGTTCATCTGGACGTAGCGTTTTCAGTGGGAGAAACATTTCATCACTCATCCAAGTGACTTCTTCAGTCTCAGCTAACTGAAGATTTCCCCAATCTTATAAACCAGGGGTGTCAAACTCAAATACACAGTGGGCCAAAATTCAAAAATGGAACAAAGTCGCGGGCTAACATTAATATTTATTGAAAAAAAAATCTTCCTCCAGATTTAAGAGTGAATCTTTTCTTATGGACTCAAATAAGTTTTGCTGGAAAACTGAATATGGAACAAGCAAAGCTTAATACTAAACAATATATATATTAGCTGTATAATACCAGTGGGCCAGCTCTAGTAGTAATTTGGTATGGCTTCGCGGGCCAAACGTAATTAGGCTGCGGGCCAGAGTTTGACACCTATGTTATAAACAGTACATCTGCATAATGACTGAAACCAGCCCACTGAAGGAACAATGGGCTGTGAGGTCAGTTCCTTCATCATTATTATGCAAATTCTCGTGACCATTGATCAACAACCACTGATTAAAGCCCACTGATCAATGGCCATGGTTACCATTCACAGAGAGTTGGGGAATGGCTGCAATTATAGCATTATACGGTGGTAAAAGATGTACCGTTAGGCCCCTCAATTCAGAGATGGTCTTTCTCTGTTCACGTAAATGGCCTCCTTGACTCCCCGCTCAAACCAGTGCTCCTTCCTGTCCAGGATGGTTACGTCCTCATCATTGAAAGAGGGTCCACTGGCCTGTAGGTGTAAATAGACTGCAGAGTCCTGGCCTGACCAGGTAGCTCTTCCGTGTTGTGCCATCCACTTCGCCAGAGGTTGTTTGGCAATCTTCCTGGCACTTAACAGCGTACACTATGTTACTCTCTACACTATGTCGGGAAACCCGATCCTTGGGGTGGACCAATTTTTGGCGCAGCGTGTTTTAGGGTTTAAAAGCCACAGAAGTAAGTCCCCAAAAACTCTTGGGCCCCTTCTGGTGTTACTAGTCAGGGAAGACAATGAAATGCAGGGAGGAGCCTCACGAAAGCAAACTTATTAGTACATGTAAGTTAATTGCAGGTACAGAAAGTTATGTTCCTTTAATGTTACGCTGTAGCCCATGCGCCTTCACAGACCTGCAAGTGCATCATAAAAAGGAACCTTTTATGGGTTATTGAAAATACAATGAATGGACTCAGGTACAAAGATGATGCTTAAAAAATAATTTATTTGCAATAAATTAAATATTTAAAATATAACAGAAGTCATCAATTTTGCAGCCACTTTTTGTTTCACAATACAGCCACAAATCTTTATTCATAACGTTTGCTTTTTGTGCCTTTAGACGGTGAAGAGGCTTTGTTCTCTTCTTCAGCATTTCGAAATCCTTTTATTAAAAAAAATTATAATTTCAAAAAACAACCATTTATTAAGTTTGGTTTTTCTGAATTCTCATAGTTAATGCAGTCAGTTAAAAGATTATTTTCATGTTTTCAGACAAGACTCAATTGGCCCTAAATCCTATGTACAACTTCACATACTGGATCTATTTGCCTTCAAAGTATGCAAATGCTTTCTTAAAACCTGTGGCTGCTAGTAGATTTCATTAAAACCCTGAGTACCGTATTTCAACTCTAACCCACACCGAGTCCTCTTGCTTTGCCTGAGCGCAGCATTAGTGAACACTGAGACACACCAATCTCCTTTTTTAAATATAAACTGCAGAAATATTTTAGCGTGACGTACATATATCTAAAAAATATTACATTATCATAACAATCCCAAATGTTCACACAGGAAATGCTTTGCTATATTAGTTCATTATTAGGAACTAATCAGATGGCAGCATTCTCTGCAAACGATTTCACCCGCAACCCTTTTGAGGCATTTAACACAACATGTCCTGCACAGTAATGACAGCTGTTACAACAATGAATTCTGTAGAAGCACGAGAAGAGGCGAGCACGCCTGATCGCGTTGCTGTTTTCCCCCGACAGAAGACTGCGAGACTTTCAAAAGTCAAAAAATCACCTTCTGGCTTGATAAATAAGGTGGCTGGTTAGATTTTCAAAAGCAAAGTGAAGATATGATACTCCAGAGAAAGCACCTTTGTCAAAGTAAAAGTACAATATGATCTTTTCAGGTTTTTATATAAGATACAACATTTAACATTATTCTAAAACCAATGTCGAAGCAATCATGGATGGACATTATAGCTAGATCAAGACATTTTTTTTAAACTTACTTAAACTATGTGTTGAAAATTACATTTGTATGGAAAACACACCTTAATGTCTCTATATTATAGTGTAATGCAGCTATGATGATTAGTTGTAGGGGGTTCAAATAAATAGCACTTGTTTAATGAGTCCAACATATTAATAAATTACACTTTAACAACCAGCACATTTTTACATCTGCTGTTAAAAAAAATAAAAAGTCAAAAGTGCAACCAAGAGCATAGTGGCATTTTACATCATCAAAATGTTTTGGAGCGTTTTCACCACCAGTGCCAGTCCAACAATCCCAGAAGCGTGGAACATTTCTTTGTAGCTATTCCCGTCTCCTCCACCGAGCAGCAGATTTCTCCTCAAATTTAACAACAATTCAGAGTCAGCGATGTGATTAAATGAGACTTCTGTCCTGAAAGTGCAATAATTTCTATCCAGAGGGATCCTCCTTTAAAGCTGTGCAGTTGACAACCCACCTGGGGCGCTCAGCCTGTCAAAGACCGTGCTGACGTGTAGTGATAACAGAGAACGCTCTCAGGATGACTCGTGTCCATGTCTGCTGGCCTCGAGAATTAGTTATCCAGTGCGCTTGCTCCTCCGTTGGCGGCCTTGCCTTTTGATTTGCCAGAAGAGCGGAAGGAGAAACGTTTGATGAGGCGCCGGGAGAAGCTGCCAGACTTTTTACGGCTGATGTTTGGTGCGGCGGTGAAGTTATTGCCCAAGTTGGAGATGTCTTCGTGGGACTGGCTGAGGCAGGACTCTTTCTCTCGATGTCTTCTGCGGAAAAGCAGCTTCGTCCCGCTCTGCAAAAAGCCCACTGCAGGAAACACATCGTGGAGTTACTTCTAGTTTCACAAATGATTTCAATTATTTCACAACATACATGACAAACAATCCATGCATTTTTGCGACAGGCTGCTGATAACAAAGTGCCTGAAGACATCATCTAAAACTGGCTCTCTAAGTTCTCTGTCATGTGTAGACACAGCACTGACAAGAGTTTGGAGCCTTTTTTTGCTTGAGCAATTCATAGGTAACGTAGCTTACCAAACTAAAAGAAAAAAACATTCCTCTGAAAACAGTCAAGAACTGGACTGAAAATGAGTGAAGAAGCAGAAAACGTCCAAAGAAAACTTTGAAAGACCATCAGAAAGGTCGCATAACTATTGTTAAAAAGCACTTTGAAAATAAAGTCTGGCTCCTTGGAAGCAAAATATAAAGAAATGAGGGGTGGCTTAGTTTACTTATTACTGCTTCTCCCACTCCTCTGCCTCACCATTCAAATTTAATTCTATTGCATGAAAAAAATACATTAAATTACAAACAAACACATGTTAGTTTGGCTTTGTAGATGCTGAAGTATGGCCTCTAGGGGGCAGCAGAGGAACTGACTGTGGTAAATCTGTGAATTGAACCTGAAGTCCTGATGTTACCTAAGACTATGAAATATTTGTTTGCATATAAAATACACTGTGCCGTTATTAATATAAAAAAAACAGTTAGACATGAAAATTAAATCTAAAAGCACATCGTCTTTGAGACTGAAAAAAATGTAAACCTGCTCATGAAATTCTGCTCTAATGACAAAACAAGAAACATATTTGAATACTTTACAGAATATTTCAATAGCTGAATAATGTTTTTACAGTTACGCTTTTCTGCGAGACGTTACTGAGAACTGGACCTCTGATTCTTTACAGCACAGTCGGCCTGCGTTACCTTTATGGTCCTTGAGACTGCGGGTTTCCAAGGCACCAGTGGAGCCAGTATCTGATTCCACATCGTCCACAGAAGGACGCTCTGATACGTCAGAGGGCGTGGTTTCATCTGGGTCATGGTGACGCCCTGACCCGTAATGGTTGCCGTGCATGGCTGCGTCCATGGCTGCAGCGTAGCCACTTGATAATGCACAGTTATCTTCAGAGAGTGGAACCTGAAGCAGAGAAATATATGTCACTACTGAAATTACACGCCATTACCCCGTATATGACGATTAAATTCAAATATACACGATTATCAGCACACTTTCTTTTAGTGAGGTTGTCGAGCGCTCCTGACACGTTTTCAAAGATTCTCGGGCAAAAATCAGGTCAGAAGATTCTCATTCTTCTGTAAAGTGGTCCAGTGGGGGGGCTGTGGACTAAATTTAGATCACACTCATTCTGCCCGGCTCCTCGTTGTATTTTACAGTAGATTCCCAGTAGCAGTCGCAGCAGTTATTAAGGCTTACAGCTAATTTAATATAAAGACTGAAGGTTGGACTATTTCCTATCAATCATTATACAGGTAACTGATAACCACAAAATAGCCGAAGTTTTCAAATCAAACTCAAAGCATGTGTCTAGAAAGACGGCGTTTTCACTCTCTGACCTTTGACACGCCCGAGATGATTAGCGTGCTCCTTTTCGTCGGTGTCTTCCGTGCTGCTCTGGACGCAGACTCTGTCAGCTGCCGTATGGCGGTTTCTGCAACAGGATCCAGGCCATTAGAGAGGCGGCTGCTCTCTGAGCAACAAAAAACACAAATATGTAAATCAGCACTATACTAGCAGACCACCATGTACTATTTTTATTAAAATATATTGCTGAATTAACTGCTGTTGCACTACATATAAGTTTGTGCTTATCTTTTATCTGTTTTGTGTCAGCGATTAGCTTCCCGGTGCACCAAAAACAGCACGTAACTCCAGCCCGTGTGCGAGTTATGTGATGCTTTTGAAAAGGATTACCTGCACGGAGCGCACGATGCGTACTCAGAGTGCATTCCTCTCGACTCGTGTTACTCTGCTGCGTGTTGCTTATCCTACTTTGCATCTGTTATGTAAAACAAATCTGGTTTTCAGGGTAGAACTCACTGCTCGCGTTGGGGCTGCTGCTGCTTCTGCTATCAGGCAGGACGGTGGGTTTCTTCTCATTCACCTCCACTTTAGACGGAGAACGCAACGGGGAGTCACCTGAAAGGGAACGCTGCTATTTCATTTCTTATTATTGACACTACTAAAAAAAACCTCATCAGGCACCTGCCCTGCCTGGTTTGGTGACATGCTTTGCTTTGTCAAACGCACCTGGACTGCGATCGAGTTTAAGTCGGGACTGGACCGTCGTGACGGTGGTGACGATGGTTCCGTCTGGCATGATGGTTCGGTCCACGTCAACTTTCTTGGTGGGGGTGAGAGAGGAGCGAAGTAGCAGAGCTTTGTGGGCACTGCTAGGCTCCTCTGTTTCTTGGTACAACAGCTGGAAGAGGAAAAAAAAACAAAAAGTGTACAAGCTGGAGGATTCTTCCTGTTAAAAGGGAGTTCTTCCTTCCCACTGTCACATAGTGCTTGCTCAAAAACGACTGCCTGATTGTTGGTCTTACATAAAGCACCTTAATCCGACTGTTGTTGTGCTTTGGCTCTATATATAAATTGGAAATTAAGTTATTAAGAAATGACAGAATTTGCCAAATGAAATGTTACTCCACAGAGACAAAGCACGTTTATTCTCATTTTCTCTCTCTTTAAAGACAATGTGAATTAGAAGAAAGCCAAAAAAAGAGCAACAAGTTGGCTGCTGGAAAGTCTACAAGAGATCTGACACAGCGATTATAAGAATGACAATGGATTTTGTATCAGCTGTTACACAACACTGCCTCTTTTGTTGGGAATCTTTGATAAAGTCCAGATCTAGATAATAAACCGTAACGCAACCTTCGTTCTGCGTCAAAGCACAAGTAAGAATTTCAAACACTCCCTACACTCTAGAAATCTAACTCGTCTGGTCACTCACCTCAGCGGTGATGACAGCGTTTGGCGTTGAGTCTTGGCCGGACCTCATGGACAATACGTGCTGCCCAGTGGGAACTTTACCCTGGATGTCCAAAGCAATGGAGGCGTGACCCGGCAGGAATTCTAATCATATTTAAACACAAAAAGAATATAAACAAATTGTACAAAAAGCAAAAAGGTCTTTCCTTTTACTGTAGTTCTGAGGCCAAAAAAACGAGCCTCTCCAGACATCACAAAATGCTAACAAAGACAGTGAGTCTGCCAATACTGCATTTTCAGCACTGATGACTCTGCTTAAGCTGTAATATGTTCCTGCTGATCAGCTTTCTGAGCAGCAGCCAGTAGTAAATTGCTATTGAACTATGCCTTACGTTCCCGTTTGCCACTCCGCTCCAGAAGTCTCACTCTCAGCTCTTTGGTTTCTGGGCCCAGCTCCCTTCAAACACAGGAAACAAATGAGTTAGCATTACAGTGAAACTCCATTATCCAAGTATTATTATTTCAATTAAATACGTTTCTTTCAACAGCCATTACTTCTCTGGAACATTAATATTAATACAAATATTTTAACTACTTGATTGTGACTGTGACATTATGGGCTCAAGAAATTCTGATGTTGCTAAATCTGAATTGGAGCTTAAAAATAAAAGATCCCCAAAACTGTTGCAACTTTAGAGAGTTTAGAAGAAAGTATTGTGGTCTTGTAGGACTCACAGCTAGAAGCTTTAATGTTGACCTGTTATGCTTTACCTTGTTTTCTGTGCTATACATGCTGTCACAGAGGTGGAGGCTCATGTTAAACCTGACCAAAAGTTTCATAATGAGGTCTAGTCTTCAGACCAGGCTTAACACCTGGTTTAGACATTTCTTTCTACTCTTGGATTTGTGAGAAAGAGCTTTGGCTGTGAGCACAGCAGCTCGACCATCTGCTGTTCAGACCTTCTGGTTGTAAGGGGCAGCCAATCAGAAGAGACGAGGATTATTTTAAACTGTGAATCATGCAAAGCTGCTCTAGCAAAGCGCAGGAATAAAATGAGGGCTGCAAATGAGGCCAATAGGTGACCTGCAAATGCATCACAATCATTACACCCTGAATCTGCTTTCTAACACGGCAGCTTACAGAGTAATATCTTCACTCCATTCCAGTGCAGCATTGGCACTGCTGGGCACAGGCAGGAAGCGGGTTGTTCTCTCTGTAGACGGTTGGTCCAGGCTCACGACACAGCACAGCTCCCCTGATTTAGACCACTGACCTGCAAAACACACAATGACGCAGTGAGACTTCGGTAATCAGCAGGAAGCTGTGCGGAAATGATCTGACGCTGGGGGAAAATATCTGACCTTTACTTAAGGTCGCCCTGAGCTGCCGGAGGAGTAGTCGTCTCACCAAGACACTCTGGGATACAGAGTTCAATCCCACTGAGAGACTGTCCATGGGGGCCTGGGAGTGTGCAGAAATGGGGGGTGGAAAGCTTAACAGTGAAACAGCACATCATCTATTTTATTATATAATCTATACATCTTTTAGTTAATTTGTCTCATTAAAGGCAGTAAATTTCTCACCAAAGGACTGGACGTCCTGAGATTGAGGACCATGGCTGGCTGAGTGCTGAACAGAGTATCTTCTATCAGACCCTTAATTGTGTCTATGTCTGCTTCACCTTCAGTGCACTGTGAAGAAAAAAGCACACTTATTACTCAGTGATGGTTAACCAACACCCGCTGAACCGAACTAACTACAGCCACAAATTGAGGGTTTATTTATTTCATCTCAATTCTTACAGGATCCCAGAGGAAAAAAATTACTGCAGCTTTAATCTGAGAGCATTTTCACCTCTGGGGGGCTGAACCAGCCTTGATACTTCACCCACGCTGGGCTTGCTACGTCGTATAAAGCAGGCTTTTTATATTCCCGTATGGTGGATGTCATTAGTCAACACAATGTCTTGTGCTAAGTATTTGTTTCCTTTTTATTTTATTAACGTTGTTACTTCCTCAGACAAATGGCATTTAATGGCATGCCCATTTATATAACAATATTAAAGGACGGCACTTCCTTCGTGACTAATCATGGGTTTAATGGGATGGAAAGTCACTTGCATGCAAAACAGCGCATGCTGATTTACGAAGAAGACAAATTAGCTACGGGAACTTTTTTTAATGTGCGTTTCCTTTTTTAATAACACACGCATGCTTTTAATTTGAAAAATGTGACGGTCACTGAGAGCAGTGACATCAAATTAGTGCCATTAGCGGTAAGCGTTCCCACCCGTCTCTGCAGCTTGCATGGAGACACGGTCAGAGAAAACGACGGCTGCTTGGAAAGACTCCAGGATATCAGCAGCCCCTCATCCTCCACCTCCTCCAAGCACGCCACAACCTGATGGAGGTAGACGGAGCAGGGGGGGGCAGGGACGGTAAGAAAATAGTAACAGGCAGTTATAACAATAGATATTCTCTGTGCAGCAAATTGTCATTAATAAATAATTGTCTTACATTAAAATGCATCAGGTAACAGAAAAACATTTCACATTTAATGACCACTGCAATGAGGGCACAGATGACATGCGACTGTCTGTGTAAATTTTCACATTTGAATAACAATGCAAATCACGCTCTGATATTTGTTTTTTTAGAGGTCTGGTCTCCCGTGTACAAATTGCTAAAATCCAGGTGCAGTGCTTCAGGTACCTTTGCCACCACAGGTGCTATAGTGATCTGATAGGTGTCCATGGAAATGGCAACTGGCGACTGCTGGGTGACCGTCACGGGTAACGTGACCCTGTCTACTGAACAATTACAGTGCAAAATCTGCAAAAGAAAAAGAGAGGAGGACAAATACTCATGCATACATACACTCAAAATGCACTGCTCCTGATGTCACAGGTATAAGCAAAGATTACTAACCATTCGGTTTGCTGACTGGTCAGTGCAGCTCACGCTTTCTATTGCAGAGGCAGCACTTATCTGGAGGCTGCTGTCAAAAGTGATCTGAATGGAGCTCTGGCAGAGACAGAGGAAGAGAAAAATGTCCCAAACATTACACACGAGAAAGAGAAAAGAGACTTGGAGATGACAAAAGATGTAACAGTGCAGGGATACAGCCTTTAATGCAGCTGACTAGCATTATATGATCATATCATAAAGTAAACTGCTAATTAATCCTGGTATTTAATGCATTTAAACAGTATCTGCTCACATAGCTCTTCCTAGATACACTCACATAAGACAGTGACTGTGTCGTTCACATGTTGCTCATCCAATGCAGTCTTTAAAAAGTAAGAACTACTGTTTGTTCCTGTTTGTACACTTCCCTGTTAAAGCAACCGCACTGTCTTTGCAGAAGCCCAAATGTTCCTTATAGCTGCAGTAACCACGACGATTACTATGCGATCGTTTTCTTGTGTTTAAATTCCAAAGTGCAAGTGAAAAGACTGATAGTAGAATTCACATGTATCTATAGTCACTCTTGTAAGTGCTATACGGCTATAAAAAGGCAGTGCTGAACAAATGCATGCAAATGCATTATTGAATTTACAGTTCATGGCCGACCACAATTGTGATTTAAGCCCAGGCAGCTGCATGGATTAGTGGGCTGAGATGAAAAATGTCCGAAAATACTGACAAAAAAACCAACACATGTAGTGGTAATTGTGTTAATAATACATTTATATAATCCTTTTTTGTAATCCTTCAGAAGTTGGGAGATTTAATGCTCCTGGCTGCTGAGAAAACCCCATGTCTCAGACCTCGTAGCAGCATCTATTTATCAAGTCGGTGCTTACTCGAGCTTACAGCCGGGCACGTTTTCCTGTGTGGAGGACAGCCTTAACAAGAGGAAGAAGTAACTCGGTTTTAAGAAAAGATTCAGCAGAATCACACGGGCACGGCGGTGACCTACTATCACTATGTGTGCGTGTGTGCCAGAAGATCTGTTTTACTGGACAGCTTTAACTGAGAAGCGCGAGAAAACAAAATCCCCTATTGTCACAGCATATGTTCCACTAGGTCCAAGTCCAATCTGTATCAAACACAACAGCGGAGGCGGGGCAGAGGTGGGAGGATGATATAACAAAGTTTGTGGTGTGCGTGCGAGTGTGTGTCTGTGTGTGTGTGTGTGTAACTTATTGCAGCCAGAAGGGCAGGAAGCCAAGTGCAATGCCGCAAGCTTACGTAGGTTCCCCTGGACTAACACTGCAGTCACATGACCGCAGCGTACAACCGGCTGTGTTTACTTCAGTTGGCTGGAGCCTCTAAAACTGCTCAGTCACCCAACTGTTCATTTGGATTAAAGTGCAGAGCAAATATGATATATCAGATTGAGAAATACAGCTTAAACCCTGTCTGTGTCGCTGCAGGCGGGCACATTAGCATCTTTGCCGTGGAACTAAACGGAGTCATCTAGCAGAAATTATTACAAGGAAGGCACAGCAAAGTCCATTTTTGTAGACTGCTTTTACAACATTTTGCTTGTATTAGATGGCTTCTGGTGTAATTATAGAGTAAATATAAGAAGACAGGCAACAAAGCCGCCTGGAGTGAAATGAGGACATCACACTTTGATCGCCACCAGAAAACAAAAAAGACACCCTTGAATCCAGAGTCAGATTTCTGGCGAGTCAAACTGCACTTAGAGCACAGATTTGTGTTTGTGTGCATCAAACTTGCTAATCCGTGTTGAAAAGAAACTGACAAATTTCATTTTTTTTCTTTTCCAAATGACTCCAGTAAACATGGCAGCAAAATATTGCCAGCATGTGTCAATCACTCATCATTCATAGGGAAAAGAAGGCTGGCTCGCTCCAGCTTTGTTCATGATTTCGGTTAAAAATCATTTTCTACTCTTATCTTTTTTCCAGCACTATCCTTTTTTGGGTTTGTTGTAAGATGCACCTGAAAAATTATTATGGGAAAATATTCAGCCATTATCGTTTACTGTATTTTTAGCAAGTTAATAGAATATCTAATTAGCAGTAGGTTTATGGTTTCTCTTCCTTCCAGGGACTTTACACCCATTGGCTTTATAAGGAGCCATCTGCTGCACTGTGGTGTTTTGTATCCTCCTTGGCAGAGGCTACAGACCTCATTTTGTCATGGAGAGAGCAGTGCTAGTAGCATGGCCGCTGATTTGTCCTTGTGATCCACCGCTGCTCAACAGAGTGTATGTGAGGGGTATTTCTGGGTAGAGACAGTTCCTGAGGACATCCATAGTGTCACTTCAGGTTTGTCAGCGTCCCCCCCTTTGGGTCTAACTGGCTGAACGCCTCTGAAAAGCATGTGGGTCAACCAGAAATACACTCCCCCATGGCTTCTGATGACCCTCATTTTCCTTCCCTATATTTTATGTTATCTGAGCTTCCTGCTATAACTAGGTGCACGATTGGAAAATTACAATGTTCATGCACAGGAAAAAGCATACATGAAAATTATTATTGATGTAATTACTCAAAATGGCAAAATAACAGACAGGGTCTGTGTGAGGGCAATGTCAACAAACTGAATGCGTACATGCTGCCATACTAAAAACAGCCAGAGGGCTACACCTTGGACAGCTCTCCGTCCAGCCCGATGATGGACCATAATGGACACGGAGAGACAGACAACCGTTAGCTCTACAAATGGAACTATATCTACTGTCTCTACTTCTTCTATCAATAATGCAGCTAAAATTAGCATTTTTGTATAGACAGTATAAAAGATGGATGGAGCCACTGTGACTTTACCCACTGCTTGCTATGAAGCCTCGATCTGAGTAGTTTCTTCTATTTCCACCTTAGTGATGTGAAATTGGATGTGACAGGTTATGGGTGTATCTGACTGAGAAACAAAGGAAACTGTAAGCCCATTAGCTAATTAGCTGAAGCTGATCCTAGATAATTGTTCTTTCTAAATGTTAGAATTGAACTGAATTTACAAAATGGACTTCATGTTCTATTTAACATACCTGAAACGAGCCACTAAGCTGAGGTTTTTACTGACATAATAGAGCAAGCAGGCACACCTAGAAGTCTTAGCAACCAGAGGAGTCGCTCCCTGTTGGCCATTAAAAAGACCATCGTTTTTTTATATTGTCTACTATTTTTTTCTACAGCTTTATTGCTTCATTATCCCACAAGCTATAAATCTGGAAGTGGGAGTACAAAGAGAGGGAGTTCTTGAAGTTTCTCCTAAAACCAAATGGCTAGCATGTGAGATTAACATGCTAGCCACTAGGATTTAACACCCAGTCACTACTTTTTTTTACTCTTTTAGGAAAGCCATAGTCCAACACCCACCATGTGAAAGCTTGGGTTACTATTAACCCCTTAGCAGTCCAATTAGTCCCCTAAACCATCCAATGTACCGTGGGCGGTACGTCCGACTGCTAACAGGTTAATACTATTATTAATACTAAAAGAATGATAGTACAATTCACGTATTTCTATAGTTACTCTCCTAAGTGCTATATGGCTAAAAAAAGGCAGCGCTGAACAAATGCATTATTGAATTTACAGTTCATGGCGGACCACAATTGTGATTTAAGCTCAGGCAGCTCCGTGGATTAGTGCACCGGTCCCCAACCCTCGAGCCATATAAAAATTATAAACAGAGTCCGTCACAAAGGGCAGCCCTGGTGAAGTGTCCGTTAATACTGGCAAAAAAAAAAACCCCAACACCCACGATGTGAAAGCTTTCACAGGTTTCACAGTAGTCCTGTAAAAGAATTAAGGAATTAAGAAAGGAACCAGCAGCCAGGTGCTGCTGATCAAACGTACTTTGCTAATCAAATACACTTTGCTGGACATACCAGCATTTTCACCCCAAGGTCAGAGCATGCAATGCTCAGACCGTACAAACCCAAGAACTACACCTCAGACTCTACAGGCATCAGGTAGCATGTTAAATGTTAAAAGTTCATGACAGTACAGCTAGAAAAAGACTGAACCAGTGTGTTTGGAACTTGTTTGGAAGGGTTACCAGGAGAATGTCTCTCCTATTTAAAAAGAACATGGCAGCTTAGGTTTGCAAAGCCGCATTTGAACAAACCACAAGATTTCGTGAACTTTGGATGAGACGTTTGCTCAAAATGCATCGCCACATTTGGAAAACGCCTAATGCAGCATATCAGCACAAACTCCTCATACCAACTGCCGAGCACGGTGATGGAGGGGTAATGATATGGGAAAAAAGAAAATTACCAAGTCGAAGTCCAGCCTTCAAATCGATTCAATCTAAAGAAAGCTGCGCATAAACAAATGCCTGGAAACCTTGATGGACTGAAGCAGTTGTACAAAGTCGGCCAAAATTCCTCAAGAGTGATGTGAGAGAGTGATAATGATTAAAAAAAACGAGTGCTGCAAGTTATTCCTGCTATAGACTCTTTTAGAAACTACTGAATCAGGGAGTGTTCTTAGCTTTTTACATGACTGCACCGAGTCCCATTAAACATTTTTTTCCTAAAGTATACCTAAGAATTGTAAAAAGTTACAGTGAATCTGGAAAGACAGTAGTGCCTTAAGTATCCAGTAATCCATCTTCACTTCAGAATTTGTTCAGGTACTATTAAATTTACATGTTGGATATTAGCTGAGCCTATTTAAATGCTGAGTCATAGCCTCAGAAAGAAGTTGGCGTAATAGTAGATTTTGGCTGTTCAAATAAAACTGGCTGGTGAAGATGGAGCTCATCATTAGCTCTGACTAAAGGATGAAAAGGTTGGTTTCCTGCACTATGGTATCAAATCAGCGCTGAGTGTTTAATGTCCCCTGTTGTTAAGAAGGAACCTACTTGAGAATAATCACAGGGCATTAATCATCTACCAGCAGCTCTCAGAGGGAGAAGAAGTGAACTGTGTCCTCAAGCTATTCACCAGACTCTTTATAATTGCAGATTGTGAATATACAGGGAGCTTCCTTCCCTGCAGATGTACGCTCGTTTTGTCCTCCCCTACCACTCAGTAATGATGGCTTGACAGCATGTGTCAGCTGCACACACAGGCTGCTGATGCCTTATGATCTGCACGT